ATATGGGTAGAAATAATAAGCCAAACGAAGCCATACTTTCTTGGTATGGAAATATTTCAGTCCAATAATGGAATTTTTGTGTGCCAAGAGAGGTATGCAAATGAAGTCCTTAGAAAGTTTGGCATGGAAAGTTGCAAACCTGTAGACACTCCATTGGTTTCCAATTTGAAGCTAAGTAAGGATGATGGTGCAATGAGAATGAATAAGGGGTTGTTTAGAAGCCTAATTGGATGTTTGCTGTACTTAACAGCCACACGACCAAACATCATGTTTGCTGCCAGTTACCTTTCCAGGTTCATGAGTAGTCCAAGTGAGTTGCATTATAGGGCAGCCAAGAGAGTGTTAAGATATGTGAAAGGGAGCTCCAGGCTGGCATTTGGTTCAAAAGGTCTGAAAATCTGAAGTTGATGGGCTATACCGACAATGACTGAGGAGGATCTTTTGATGACATGAAAAGCACCTCAGGTTATGTATTCTACATAAACTCTGGTGCAATTAGTTGGCTATCCAAGAAACAAGAAACTGTGACTCAGTCTACAGCAGAGGTAGAGTATATATTTGCTGCAGCAATTGTGAACCAAGCCATTTGGCTTAGGAAAATTCTAACAGATTTGAAGCAAAACTAGGGAAGTTCAACTCCAATTCTATGTGACAACCAGTCTGCTGTTACCATGGCCAAAAATCCAGTTCTTCATGGAAGGACCAAGCATATCAAGATAAAATTTCATGTTGTGAGGGAAACTGAGTATAATGGTGAAGTTACCTTAATTCACTGCAGGGATGAGAATCAAACTGCTGACATTATGACCAAAGCATTGCCTAAAGCCAAGTTTGAAGATCTTAGGCTCAAACTTGGTGTTTCCAGCAAAGGTATCAAGGAGGAGTGTTGATGCAGTGATACTTTGCTGGAAATGCATCAAATTTCCAGTTTGCAGGTTGAATATTTTTGGCTCCAATTGAATTCTGTTTCTGCAGTTGGTCTGACGTGTATAGCTGCAGTTTTTTGTGCATTTTAGTTGACTGGCTTAGGTGTAATTAAGTCATGTAAATGATGCATTTTGAGTATGTTTTGTTGGTTGTTAGAATTTAAATTCAAATATGAAAATCTTTGTTGTAGTTGTTGTAACAGTGGATGGTTTGGTTATATTGTTGCATGTATTACCAGCCTAAATGAAAAACTCAGAATTTTCCATACTCTCATCAGTTTTTCCTTTCTTTTCTTTGTATTATCCGGCCATAACACCATCAAGTAATATGCACCAAATGTTTTAGGAAGGAGACTATTTGAAAAGTGGTGGAACTGTCTAAGCCATTTGATATTTCATCCATGAAAAGAGCTCTTGTTGGCCCCACAGTCAACTCTCCTACGTAACAGCACCAGAAGATAAATCTAAGAATAACATTGATCGTCTTTTTCAAGTAAAAAGCTAAATCATCATATATCTATAATATAGTCATTGGCATATGAATACTACCTGTACTTGTAGTCAACCTTTTCTTTTGACCTCCAGAGATACCTCTTCTCATGGCATCTCCAACAGATGTCAAGTCCCAGAATCTTAAAGAAAAAGCACAGAAAATATTACCATGCAAATGTGCATGTCTCAGTAAGTTATAAAGAAGAAGCAGGATTATACTTGCTGAAATTACCTTTAAAATGTAGTCTGTTTGCAGGGTACTTTCAAGTCTTTCGGCTGATATTGCCTGTAATAACAATATCAGTTTCAGTTACCAACAGGATCCAGAGCAGTGAATGGAAGGTTCTAATGTACAGAAGAAAAAAATAGAAAAAGAAAAAACCTGCAATATTACTATCTGTTGTTAGTACAATTGTCTAACAGAGTCATGACCTCAAATATGGCTAATTACTATATAAGAATGATCCAATTGAAGAAAATCCGAGTTGCACAAAAAATTTGAATGTATATATTTACTTCTTAACCAGCATTTAGTTTTAAATCATTCTGTATGAGAATATAGATTGACAATAAGGCATTGCAACGAAGAAAACAAACTTACTTGATTTTCTGAAATCTAAATCAATTCATTTCACTTGGTAACTAGTATCAATTATAAGCAAGATTCTTAGTACATAGTCTTCACATTATACTCATAAATACAAAACTTAGAGATTTTTACACGGCATAACTATATTGTGTCCAACATTTAAGAAATCAAGCGAAGATACTAAGTAAAACATCCAAAAATGCTATACGCGTACCTTCATGAAAGCATCTACATCAAGATCAGGTACAATCCCTGCCTCTTTCTCTCTTTTACTGACTTCCATCATTATCTCTTTCATGTACAGAAAAAATTACTAGATTAATATCAGTTTGATAAGCTTAATATGACAAGAAAATTACATCAAAATCATCATTTGAGCACCCAATGATGCTTAACAGCTCGGTGTCCAGTACCCTGACAACGTGCAGAAAAATCAATTTTTTCCCTCACCGTCAGCTCTGGAATATGCAGATAATGTTGGCTTATATAAGCTGATGTTTTCTGAGGAACAAACTCTACTAGTCTGTAACCATTGTAGGACACTTCCCCTGAAAACTGTGCATGAAAGATGAGGATATAAATAAATAAACGTAAGAGAACTGAATCCAAGACAGAAGAAAAAACAAAGAAGATTAATGTATATTTTGGAGAGAATGACTTAGTTTGCCAGAAAGCGCTGACAATAATGTGGTTTTCCCACATCCTGGAGGACCAAGCAATAATGTCATCCTGCAATGAAAACAAGCCAAAGTTCTCAAACATATTCCCAAAATTGTTTCCAGTCCTTGTGCACAAGAACAAAGATAAAATAAATTAAACTCCCCTCCAAAAGCCTAACAAGTAAAGTCCAATCCCTTCCTCAACACCGTGCCACAATTAATCCTAAAAAATATTAAAAAATTATAATAAAAAATACACATTTGAGAAATTGAGTTTTGAAATATGCTATCCTACAAACCACCTGGTGAAGAAAAAGAAGAAGAAGAAGAAGAAGAAGAAAGATCAAGGAAATCTTGCTATTCATCGCGTGAAGCGCGTAACAGGCAGCTTTCAGGGAAGGTGTAAAACTCAACATTTGGTTTTAAAGATTGGAAGGTGAGAAGACTAAAACCTCATTGGTGGCTATATATATGTATTGGTTAATTAAAAATCAAGGAATTTCAAGAGTTTACCTTCCAGGCTTAATGATGCCGCTGATATCTTCTAAGATTCTCAGCTTTGCTTCTTGTTTTGAACCCTACAGATTAGTAATCCCCTGTCACAAACACAAAGGTCAAGCAAATTACCAACAACGACCACTGCCCAAAAAAATAAAAACAAAAAGACATATTGCTTTCAGGGAACCCACAAGATCAATCCATTTTAAGGACTGTGAAGCACATTTTAGAAATGCTCCTCTGCTGCTAAATCAATGGTGTGAAAGAAAAGTTAGTGAATACACAGATACATACATGAAGCATGCTCTCGGTGGCGTTCCAAAGAGTGGGGAGAGGCTTGCTATGAACGACCTCACACTCTGCCTCAACAATAAGATTCTTATATCTCACTTCCACAGTGGGCAACTGTACTCCCACTCTAAAAAGCATAACCAATAACAAATCAGTTTAATTAATGAGATATGGAAATTTGAATAGTAAAAATATATTGACAGACAAACACCAGCTATTTCATGTATTATCAGTGAAGTTAAAATGGCAGAATGCTATGCATTTTAGAAAGGAAGGTAATTACTTGTCAATTCTCTCTTTCGAATTCTGTGCAACAATCGGAGGTTATCATTGTCAATATGTTTGATGAGCTTGTCAATGAACATAGGACGCTCCTGGGGTCCAAGTTTGGTAATATTAACAACACGTTTCCCGGTGGCATCTGCCTCTTTTTCATCAAACAAAGCCTTGTTAATCCGTTCAAAATTTGGTAATCTCTGAAGAGCAGCCCATTGCATCTCATTTTCACCACCCTCCTCCTCATCCTCCTCACCATCATCTGGAGCATAGTTCACATCAGTAATACTACGAAAACTTGAAGTGAAACTTCTAAACGATAACCTTAAGCTTCTTCCAATCTACGCTAACTCAATCCTGAGAGACTCTATTTCATCAGGACCTGCCAGCTGAGCCATTACTATTGTTGCATAAACTGAAGGGCTAAAGAGAGAAGAAGAACAAATTGTAAGTTTGAGTCACTGCTTGGGTATGAAATGATGGAAGATATGTATAATAATGAAAGTGGGTAAGCTGATCCATGGCGGCGTATGGTTGTTTACTCGCATTATATTTCAACTGGAAATGAAATATTATTCTTCTGTTATTACGTTACATCATGTTTGATCCCTTTTACATTGCTTCGTCAGCTTATCGAAGAAACGGAGGAATATCATCCATTTAAACGCCAGCGTTTCAAGGTTCATTCAGTTGAGCTGAAGTAAGAATTACTTTGCCACTTCCTGAATATTTTAGTGGGGTGAAGATGGGGTGGACTTTTCCACTCCCTATGATGACAATAAAATAATAAAGATCACGTTATCCCAGCAATGCATTATGAACACTTTTAAGGAAACTGAACAATTTTGGGCCATAACCCATTCATTGATTGAGTTGGCCTCATCACCCATGACGGCCATAAATAAAAGAAAAAAATGATTTGAGTAGCATAAGCCATAAGATATTTTACTAAATTTTCTGATTATTTTATGAGTCACAATATACAAAACAAAGGGGCCTGATTGCACCATCAGATGATTTCTCAGCAAAGATAAGAGTAAGACCTTTCAGCTTAGCACTTTAGCAGTGCGCAACTGTGTAATACCAATTCAGGTTTGTTCTGTTGCAACCAACAATTTCTCTCTTGGGATTTCAATAGTATTCTTTTCCCGGTTTCCCGCTTTTGAGATTTGTCAAACTCAAACAGCTGCTAATAGCAAACCAATTCAGGCATAAGCTTTTAGCATAATTTTAGATTTTCTTAGGAGGAAGGCAAGCCAAATAAGAATATGAATCAGAACACAATGAATTGTATATACTTCGTACATAAGGTCCTCGTAGTAGAAAGAAAGAAGGCAGGAAATGTGATGCTGACACTATTTGGAATATCACATTACAGAAAGAAAAGTAACAAAAAAAAAAAAGAAAAATATCTTCAAGTCTACAGAAACGCAATCATCAATTCTATTGCTACATCAAATCTGTACACAATTAAGATAGCCAAATAGTTGTCAGTGGAACAATGGAGATATCCAATGGACTGTTACAGCAGTGTTGCACCAAACATGAGGATAGAGGAGTAATTGCAGTCTTTTCTTAAATAAAAAGCTTTAATTGCTTGCTCAATCAGTAATTTCGCTGATATAGCCTAGTCTGTCACACATGAAACTTGGACAATCATAACACTTCTAGTTGCCTCAGGTTCTCAATCAGAAATCAACGCACACTTCATTTCAGTAGCTTAATCGTTTTTAGGAGCCTCAGCAAGCATCCTCAGTCTCTCCTGTTCTAGATCATATACCTTGTCATTCATACCTACCTTTGCATATGCCTCCATCATGATATCAAATGTTCTAGAATCTGGTTGAGTTTGCTTCTCTTTCATCCGCTTAAAAACTCTCTCCATCTCCATCAAATCCTCAGCCTTTGCACAAGCGGATATGACTGCATTACAAAATGATGTATTCTCAGGTATCTCAAACTTTGCAGCCAACCTAACACTGCTAATAACCTTGTGGAATAGACCTGCATTAGCATATCCATTAATTAGACAACAAAATGTCTTGGTATCTGTTCTCATACCCTCAGCACGCATCTGTTCAAATGTGTATTCCATGTGTTTTGCATCCCCTACATCTGCAAAAGCCTCAATCACATTGTTATAAGTTGAGGTTGTCCATGGAAATTGAAGCTTGCGCATGTATTCCATCACAGATGACATTTTATCATACATCCGTTTCTTCCCATAAGCACCAATCAATATGTTAAAGGTCCTTGTTTCTGGCTCAATACCAAAATTACGAAACTTTTCATACCAACGTTCCATCATATCAACCTGACCCTTGTTAGCAAATACACTAATAACAGTATTCATTGTCCAAACATCAGGCTTGCATGTTGTGCTCTCTAACATCCCTGACAACACTATCTCCATTTGATCGAACTTCCCTGCCTTACCATATCCACTTAACACAATGTTTTGGGTGACTGTGTTTGGAGTTATCCCTCTTTCATTCATTTCTTCATATAAAGTCTCAACTAATTCAAAAAGCAAAACATCAACACAAGCCTTAATTAAAGTACTATAGGTAAAAATATCCGGCTGACATTTAGGAAGGGTTTTCATTTGGTTAAGAACAGAGAAAGCCTCATCAATGAGATTGTTTCGACAATAAGCCGCAAGTAAGGCAGTGTAAAGTTCAGATGTGGGTTCAATTCCTTCTTCTACCATTTCATCAAAAAGCTGATGAGCACGCTGGGGTTGCCCAGATCTTCCAAGAAGAACAAGGAGTTTCATATAAGTGCCCTCTTTTGGCTCATAAAAGGGTTGTTCTTTTAGCATCTCAAACACCTAAAAGCATCCAACTTGGCCATCATTATATACAACAAGCAATTATAATAACAATGCTCAGTTGCTGATTTTTCAATACTACTATACACAATAAGCAATTATAACATTACAGAGTTGTTGATTTTTTTAATACGTTATTATAAAGCTACCTTAAGCAAAAATTTAAGGGCCTACAGGGTGATAAATCCAATTTATGAGTGTTATATTTGGAAGCTTTATTACTGAAAAAATGAGATGCCCAGAAAGCAAATATTAAGGAATATACACAAACACCACAAAAAAAAAAAAGCATTCAACTTCGTCATAATTATTATACAATATACACAACAAGCAACAACAATACCCAGCTGTTAGATTTTTGAACTCTACTACTATAAATCCATAATTCTAATTTCAAAGCATCATATATTGCAGCATTATTATTCACAATATGAAGAATTAAAAAAAAAACCCAAAAAGCAAAGATTACAGAAATAACCTCAAGGGCTTGGAACCACCGCTTCTTGAGAATATGATCAGATAAGGTTTCAGTGACAGTGTTGACCCAGGCCTTAGCTTTGGCCTTGCGGTCAAGTTTCTTTTTAACATTTTTTATGGGTGTTTTCTTTGAGCGATAACCAGGTATTGAAGTCTCAGAAACGCCAGGGTACTCTCCTTCTTTCCAGAGCCTCTTTTTAGGAGAAGAATCAGTTTTGGCGGTTTGTGCAAGGGATGCACACTGAATAACGAACTTAAAGTTCGAAACTTGAGACTTTTTTTTGGTGAACTTGGTCTTGTCTTGAGTGTGAGAAAGAGGAGAGGAAAGAAGTGAAGAAGAGAATGAGAGAGATATCGATGCCATGCCCATCTCCACCAAACAATAACTCTCAAGGACTGAGAAAAACTGAATGAACCCTTGCTCAAGTGATGGGGTTTTGCTATAACACTGGCTTAGTGACTTGGTAAGGTTACTGTAAGAATACTTTATTATACATCATGTTTGTTATATCATATATGAAAAAGCAGGATTCAGGAAGTAATTTTTGAGCTTATTATAAATTTTATTTTGTCTGTAAATCTTTAGTTCTTTACTATATGATACCACTGCCTGTCACAACAGTGGTAATAATTTTTTTATTTTTTTTTTTCCTTGAGTTTTAGTTGGTTTCAATTACACAGAATTTATCCGTTTTGAATAAAGTTTGGATGGAAAAAAGATCTATTGAAATAATAAAAATCTTCATGGTCCCTATACAGCAATTAAGTTTACCCAGAGCAGCAACACAATCCCATGTGTCCTTATGATCCAGACACATTTATTTCATTTCAAGACTCAAGTTGACTTTTTGGAGTTTGGTAATTTTGTTCAAAGTAATGGTCTAGGTCCTCTAGGAGATGATGATTGATGAGTTCCAACTTCTTCTTAACATCATTGGATTCTTCAAACTAAATCTAACAACACAGTCAAGTAGCAACTGCAGCAATGTGGCATCTCAATCACTCTTATGCCTTTGCTTCAAAAACACCCTCAAACTCACAAGAACTATTACTGTTATGTTCATTTGCTGCAATGTCTAATAAATTGTATAGACAACACAAACATGTAGCTGAACTTTTCCATGTATAAAAATTAAAATCAACTATCATTGACACATATACAACATTATTTTTCACCTGAGATCTAAATCCATACAAATCAGCAGGACTTCTACATTCTTCTTTATGTAAAAAGGGCAGAAAATGTGGGGAAGAAAAAAAGTCCTGGCTCATGTCTCGGTGAACCAATTAGTATAAATTACCTTAGCTAAACCACTTACTTAGAGCAGTTCCCGCCTAGTGTCTCTAGGAACTAATTATTATAACTAACTTAGCTAGAGCCATACTTGAGCATTTCCCATCTGAAGGGCCGGAACACATAAAGAACTTCGGGTGAGCTTTTGAAGAGCAGTGCCACGCAGACACAGACAGCTGCAATGGCCACCATTGAAAGCATTGCAGGCCTGTATACCAATGATGTTCTGGGATTTCCATAAGCAAGCTTCTGTTCACAGAATTTGCAATGTTGCAGCTTCACTTTTGTTTCGATCTTTTCAGTCTGGAAGCTAACAACCCCAGACAATTTAAGCCCATCTGATGGTTTCTGCTTGGTCATGCAGTCCAAATGGTCACCAGGCATATCTAGGACGACATGCCCACTTTCCGCAGATTTCTTGTTGATTTTTCTTTGGACTAGATTAATATAGGAGTACTGGCCTCTCATGCATGCATAATCATTTGGTGTCATACCTGTACTGTCACGGGAACTCTTCCAAGCCTCTATTCCCACCTGAACATGACAACTCGTATGAGCACCATCAAAGAAGCACAAGATATACACAAGTATCAGAAGAAATCATGTATAACAACAGGATGCAATAACAAACAATATCGGCATAAACATGAGGTCATCTATTGCTTTAAGAATTAATGACTTACATAGACTTCCACCTAAATCAAATCAGAACTGGGTATAAAATTTCAAGCAAATTCTTTATTGTAATAAACTAAAAAGGTATATACTTTTATGCAATAGTGCTTCACGAACAAAAATACAGAGAGAGAGAGAGAGCAAGAAACTTTAACATGATTAGAAGTTAGCAGTCTACTTCTCTGAGTTATCCAAGAATTTCATGTTTTGGTTTAAGTTATCCAGGAACAAAGGTCATAAGTAATTTGGAATTTGCATATGCCAGAAGAACAAACAAATCATACATGAGGGTCACTTTTGTAATCTTTGGTCATTCACAAGTCAAAGAGTCAAACTTCAGTAACTGGGCTTAATATACAACAAGTAAATAAGGGGATGAGAAGATACCAGTCCAGGATCATCAGTTAAGGCATCCAACAAATTCTCGGCACCATCCCTACAAGCTGCTAAATGAAGTGGAGTCAATCCAGCTGGCCCAGCAACATCAGGTTTAAATATGAAACTGATGTAGCCTCCATCCAATTGTTGCTTCTCCTGAGATCCTGGTCTATCTAATACTTTACCTGGAGCATAACTTAATAATAGTTCCACCATCGGCCTGCAATTTCTTTGCACAGCTTTGTGAAGTAGACCCATACCTAATAATGCAAGCTCAATGGAATTATGCTCTCCTCTGTCAACATTTCCATCAAACAGAATGCCCAAGAGTTTCTTCACTACGGCACACCAATCATGTTCCATTGAGAATTCCATAAGCCACCTGAACCGTTTGAAAGGGAAGAGATCTGAGTTGGGATCCACATCACCCAGCCTAAACTTCAGACGAGTTCTATGAAGAAGCCAACCCATTTCATGTAAAAAGTCCAGCGCTTGATTCTTGACTTCAATATTCTCAGCCTTCTTCTGAGAGTCATCCTCAATCTCAACAGCCTCAATTGCACCCTCAAGCATACAAATCTCAGAACACATTTCTTGCTCTGCGACTAAGAATGGAAAGCTGCTGCTGCTCAGACCATGGTCTTCAACCTGATATGACAAAGACCAAAACCTCAAAATAATATAAAATACACATGAATGAAAGAGAGCAATAGGAAATAATTATTTCTTGTACCAAACTCTTGCAGCCTCTTCTATAGCCTCGGTCAATTTTCTTTTCAAAAGTTGAAAATGAAACTAACAAAATATTTTATAAAGAAACAGTCAATGTTTTCTTTTTAAAAAGATAAGAAAGCATGAGATGAACAAGGAGTGCATATCTAATCTCAAATGAGCTACCAACAGCAGGAACTCAATAATCGTCTAGAATTTCTAAAATGACCTGAAGTTTAGGACTTGAAGACGGAGGATGAAGGGAAAAAATAGGAGAGGGATCTGGGATATTTCACAGGATTCTTATAGCTATAATAAGTAATCTACTGGATCGGAATCAATTTCTAGTTTGACGATCCGAAAGTAGCATCTATCAACTACAGGGGATCAAAAGTCATAACCAAAAAAACAGATTACTAGGGTAATAGTTAAACACTCCTATTCAACTTAACTCAGGACAGCACCACAAAAAATTCATAACAGGACTATACCAAGTTTACTTCATATAATACCAAGCAATACAACATGATAAAAGCAACAAAGGATATCCAAACCTCAATGAATCCTCTCCCAGAAACATCTGGTAAAGAGCATTGGAAGGTCAGGTATTGGAGCTCATCATGTTCATTAGTACTGGCACCATCCATTAAATCATTGCAAGTTCCCTGTACCAGATACTTTCCTTCTAGAGCACAGAGTAATCTGACATCAAAAAATAGTAAGATTTTATCAATCTTGCAGTAAATCTAACAAAAAAATTATATTAGATCAATAAAAAGAGAAACTAAAATGTGAGAATTGAGACTATTTCTTTCTAATCTACTGTCTACTATGGAAGAGTATAAAGTAAAGATGCATGCAAGGAAGACAAAATTACCTTGTTGTGGTCCGGAAAAGATTGAAACCTTTAACTGTAAATTTAGCTCTCTCAGACACAGACACTGCAATTGGCTTGATACTTGAGATCCTGCAATTTTTATGGCTTTTTAGAGGTAAGGGGGTGTCTAAAACAACCTGGCCTGCATCACAGACATAAGATGTCACAATGTTTTCTTCTATTTGCACTGCCACTACAGAACTCAGAAATTCACTGGCCACAACATGAAAAGGGGGTTCTGAGAAGTCTCTTTCATTCTAACAACAACACTACACATACACAAACATACACGTTCACACAATGAGAGAGACAGAGAGAGAGAGAGAGAGAGAGAGAACCATTATATATAAATGCCACAGAGTGTTGCACCCTAGCATACAACCATCCTGTTTTCCAGAATGACTCATCAGAACCATCAAGAAGCTTCCTTAAACTGGAGCCCAAATGTGTCGTATCGACATGCGTTGTTTCACTATTGCTTCTAATCATCAACCTACCTAAATGGGGATCAAGAGCTAAATTCACCCACAAAAAATAAAAAAATAAAAAAATAAAGAAACGTCTTGGAAACAACTTAGGAATATACCTCCTCCCATGCGGGTTTACCCAGACGAAGGTATATTGTTAGTATAATACAGCCAGGTCTTATATAGCTTTCAATGTCTGTAGGACTGTGGGATAACCAATCAAGGATCTGGGAATTGAAATTTTTTTATCAAATTTTTCATCCACTAAGGGAACTACAAAATCAAGTTTTGCAACCAAACAGGATCCAGAAAATACCTGTCTTCGCATCTCAATAGGGAAATCATTAGGGTCCTTCCCAAAGAGCTTAAAAACAATCCGGTCAGTTCGACTCTGAAAATTGGTAAGAGATATTGTCAAGAGAAACAATCATTCAAAGAAATGTAGCAATGACATACTTGTACTAAAGCATGCTTTATCATTACTGGCTCATTCAGAGTACAAGACCAAATCAATGTTCTCTCTATAGAAGAAGAACATCAATGTTGACACCCCTATACGAGAAAGCCAGAGAAATTTGAGCTCTAAGCTTACTGTCTCAGTTATACCTGAGCCTCTCCACTAGAGGTAGATGGTGACTGGCTAGAAGTTGAATCAGAATTTGCAGTTGTATGGGGTGGACTTGACTTGTTAGAGTCTGGCTGCACCCATATAGGGCAATAAAGAGAACCAGTTCCACGATTTATAGGAGCATGAGACTTCTCTAGATTCTCTCCATTTTCTTGAGAATCATCATAAACATAGTTCAAATCAAAATTATTAATCTTGCTCCTCCCATATGTAGCCTCTGGTTCATTTGCTTTAGTTGACAGGCTGCCTCTTGAAGGAAACATTGCTGTGGACTGGAAACCTGACGGTGCTTGTACACTTCCAACTTGAGCATCATTGCTAAATATTCTATTCTGCACCAAATTAGAAGCAGGTACAGCTCCACATTGGATCATGGATCTCGTGGAGTCTGAGAATCCAACACAATTATCTATCTTACAGGATGAAGTAGAAGGTCTAGCAGGTTCAGGAACAGTTGAAACCACATCCAGAACCTTACCAACATTCCCCAAAGACATCCCA